TGCTTTTAACCCCACTTGTTATGTGATCATCACGAAAAATATAATGATCTAGGAGCCCAATTCCCAAACTAAAATCTCTATGAGTTATGAACTTGACTTTCATCTTTAATACCATAATTAGGGAGATTGAATATTAGATAAACTCATAAAATAAGATTCAATACACATGTTTTGAAAGATTAGTCAATTAAAATTATGAGTGTACAAGTAAATCCCTAACAATTTTGACATTTGATCTTTAAATATGAAATTTGAAAATCCTTTCCGTTTAACATTTTGCATGTTTCATGATTTCACTGGCCGGACAGGAAGTACAAGGGGCACCGCCGCACCAGGAAGAGAAATGGGATAAGCAAAAGGGTATATAAGACTTTTCGGAATGGAGAGAGGAAACTCCTGCCCGTGTGGATCCCCACTCACCATGATATGAAAATCCAAAAACCAGAAAGTCATTAGGATTCCACATGGCAAGACGTTTTTCGATAAAACACCCGACCGTGGACTGATTGAAGTCGACTGAGACTCGTTATCTATGGACCAAAAAGATACCAACACCACTCTCGTTTTAAGAGAGTGAATGCGACGCCCCTAATCCCCCACCTATAGTTTTTTTTTTTTTTTTTAATAAAGTAATAATTGATACCCACGTTAATTTAATATATTATATTATATATTTATTAAAAATTATTATTTATTAATTTAAAAAAATTTAAAAATATAATTATATACGTAAAACGTAAAAATCGATCAATTGATTTTATATTATATTTTTAATAATTAAACTAAAAATATATCAAAAAATATATTGAATTGATAATATACCTATTATTTTTCTTTTTTTATAATATCAGCGTTCGGACTTATTTTTAAATTTACTAATCACATGGTTGGTTGTAAAGTTTTCATCAATTATATGATGGGTTAATCGTTATTATTATTTTTTATTCGTCAAAGTATTTTTAAGTTAGTTATGTTTGTTTTGAGATTAATATTTTTTTAATTTGATTAATAATAAATTATCATATTAAAACTAATAAATTTTTTAAAAAATTACTTATTCATTAATTTTTTTTAGAAAACTTTAGTTTTAAGACTGATTTTTTTTGTATTAATATCTCAATATTTGATAATCACATTAAATCTCACATAATTCGAAATCGAATTGCGTTGAATATTATTAGGAGAAAACTCTTCCAATACTTATTTTTCTATTTATAAGACTCAAATTTAAGATTTTATTTAAAGAGAATCGAGTTTCTTCCACTCAGATCAACAAATTATTAGTTTAATTTTAAGAATGATTGTTGTAATGAGAATAAATTATTTGTATTGAAATGATAATAAAGAAATTTAATTTTTGATCTTTTATTCTAAACATAAATGTCTTTAATTATTTGAACTGACATTTTAATAATTTTTTTAATCGAAATATGCAATTAAGATCATTAGTTCACAACGTGCACGCGTTAGACTTGCAAATTGAGTGACGGGAGACAGAAAGTAAAACAATGGGATAAAAGCATGGAGACAAAAAAAAAAGTCACGACAAAAGCAAATGGGAAAGGTGTTGTGTCTTCTTATCCTTGGTGCTCTGAATTTTAGATTTGATTAGCAGTAGCACGTGGCATGAAGGGTGAGATTTGACAAAGGCATGTCAAGAGAGTGAAAAAAAAAAAGGGGTAGCATAACGGAACGACAACGAGAATCATGCCTGTCACCCACGCTGCTGGCAGCCCACTGGCCTCCCGTCGCGATGCCTCCTCGGGCCACATGGCTATTAATCCATTAAGGACTAGAGTGGATGAAAAAACTGAAGTACTAGTCATTTTAAATTGAAAATATTTTTCCACCGTTAAAATTATCAATCGTGTTATAGTGTAGATAAGAACCACGAGAACCAACTTGGTTGGATCAAGTGATAAGCGATTTGTTTTAATTTAAGTAAGATTTTGAGTTCGTGACTTTGTACACGCAGCAACTCTTACTAGAAGACTCATTTATCATTTTCAGATGAACGACGCAGGTCAAATCTGAATTAATCAGGGTGAAACCCGGATACCTAACGAGAAACCAAAAAAACAAACCACGAGAGAAAAAAAAGATATTTAACATTAACAAACCCATTATTATTTATTAATAAATATTATATAATTTGACATACTAGATTACGTAATATTTTTCTTTAAATTACATTAAAGGATGCAAAATATTGCTGATGTATCCTAATTGTATAGAAAATTTTCTTTGTGGATCACCTGTTCAACTGTCCTGTTGATGAGGAAAACTTCTATTGACGTGGTATCCCATGATAATAAAAACACATCATTTTAATTTTTTTTTTTTTTGTAATTCTTTGATCACTTATGAGAAAAAAACTAAAATGTTATGTTTTTATTAACTGGAGATATCATGTTAGTGATATCCCAAGGATATAGTAAAATTCCTCGTTGAGGAGGAGCTCTTTCGTCCTTTAAGGAATTGGGTTGGGTCACTTTGCTTGATGTGGGAAAGAAGAGCAGCTTCTGTAGTTGCGGCCATCTTTAAACGTATTTTACAGGCCTGAAATACTTCGCATGCTCTTCATAATTTCCAATTCTAGCCTAATTTAATCTCAAACAGGAGAACATTTCTTCAATTGTGCCCAAATTGAAATGCCAAAACGCAGGAAATTCAAGGTTTTTCCTTTTAAACATGTTCAGTTCTACTTCCATAATCTGGGGAAATTGGGATTAAAAGGAGTACTTAAATTTGTTAGCTTGGTTCCTTTTTTTTCATTGGGCCAGGGAAATCAAATATGAGTACTAAACACTCTAGCGGTGCAACATGCTCAATGCCATATCATGTTGTACGTTACACAATATTACATAATATTAAATAAATAAACACAATATTACATTAGACTTAATAAAAAAAAGTTAATTATTGGTATATGTCACATTTTTAAAAAAAGAGATAATTATACAAATAATATTAATCTTTGTTTTTAAGGGATAAAAGAAGTGTTAAATTTGATATTCAAACTTCATATTATTAAAGATATCATCACTTTATTTCTCAAAGAGAAGTATGACCACTTGGACCACACAATGATTGATGGCATATGCCACATTCACTAACACATTGTGTTGTGCGCAATATATATGTATATATATGTTATTAGGGCAAGTGGTTCGAGGGGAAGGGAGTAAAGAGGAGAATCGAACTCTTACCATGATAAAAAAAGTTTACATTAAGCTATTGGGTCATTAGATCGGCAGGCCTTATTCGTGTTGTGCACAATATTTATTGTGTCCTAAATATTGTGCATATTTGCATACTTAGACATAACTTATAAAATAACATTTCTCAATAGATTTAACCCTCCAGTTATTCAATCATTCTGTCATTTGAGTCTCGAGGATGCGATATTTGGAGAGAGCCCAAAGTTTTTGGGCTTGTAAAAGGCATTTGGGTCGGCCCCTATAAGCGACCCATAATATGCCGAACACGAGAAGATGAACGGCAACCTAAAAAAAGGCAAATTCAAATCCGGCGGAAGCCTGAGCAAATCCCAACGGCAAAAGGCAATAATATTAGAATTATAAATTTATCATAATAATATAATATCATTAAATGAGAATGGTTTAATATTAACTAAATATATATATAATATTATAAATAAATTTTTAAATAAAAAATTAATTATATAATAACTTATTATATTATAAATTTATAATATTACATAATAATTTTATATCTCAAATACTAATTGGGTAATGATAAATGGAAAACTTTTGGTAATTGGAAACTAAATTTGAAAATAATAACTAGGCATAAATCACATTAGCATGGCGTTACAAGGACAATCTTTTTAGAGAAATTATATTTAGATAATTTTTTTGTCTCATTTTTTTGTACAATCTGATGTGTCATTCAAATGATTGACTCTTTTAATTTATATTAGATCCATGATATTGAATGCATCAACTCATTTAATGATATATGGAAATCATATAAAAAGGTAGGATAAAAAGATTGTTCCAACAGTACTATTCATCTTTTTATACCACCTTTTGATACAAGTGGATGCAATTAATATCA